AACATTTCATTTTTATGAAGAGTCTGGTAGCGTTTCCACTGATGCACATCTGTGCAATGGGACTTTGGATCAGCACTACTGCTGAGTTTTCTGAGTACTACTCGTAGGAATAATAGATATTTGCTACTCCTTGGGAGGATCTAAACTCCTGAATGATTTCTGTGAATCCTAGCATCAGAGGAACTTAGGCCACCTAAGAAAGAGTAATCTACTTAGGTTTATCAGAAATCAAGAGATTGTTTTATTTTAATGTGCTTATAGAAACTGAGGATGGGGAAATATCTGTCAGTCCCTGTAGTCATATTTCAGCTATTACTGGGGCATCCTCTGCACTGAGAGATGGAATTTGCTTTTCAGAAATCTCTCAGCAACAGATGGGCATTATGAATGGAAAGTGAGGACTGCAGAAGCCAAGTTTCATTTCCCATATTCTGCACAGGCTGTCAGTAATGCCAGATCTGGGAACTGACAAGATTTAGCAGTACTGTCCAATGTAGAGGAGTTTCTGGTTTTCTGCCTGTGTACCAGCTCAATGCTTTTCTGTCCAGGTTTGTTTTATACACTGTGTTTAGAAACGGTTCATTTGTCATGTTTTAAGAAGACACAGAGTATCACTGTTTCCAACTCTTTGAACATGGAATGCTGATTAATTTCTAATTTGGACACTTAATTAAGATTAAGAGCTTGGAACAGTTTCCATCTGAAAGCAGTGAGACTTTAGCTGCTGATTTTGAATGCAGGTAGAATTACTCTGTCAGCCTGTGTCAGTGCAGCACAAAAAGTACAGCAGAGTGCTAAAGAAACAGATTTTCCGCTGAAGTCCAGAACAGAGGTCTGGAGAGTTTCCAGCTCCTACCCAGCCAACAGTATCTCCTGTTAAAATCATTGATGTGGATCAGTGTGAGGATTGGAACTGTGTTTTAGGACAAAACAGTTGTTGAGGAGGCTGCCTGTGTGCCTCAAAGGAGAGTGTCTACTCAAACACTGTCCTCAATGCTTGCTACAAGATAATTCTTTTTTCTGGCAAGACAGGAGACCAAGACATTGGTAGCCCGTTCCAGGTGGCCAGAGAAGGGCAGGCCAGGGTGTAAAAGAAGCGATAGAGAGATTTAGATCATGTCTTGCCAAGACAGAGAAACTGGCTACAGAAACATGCCACATTTCAGAACAGAGTCTTGCTGTTCCCTGTGCTCTCCAGCAGAGAAGAGACACCTTATCTCATCCTCCTGCAGAGGAAGAGGTCCACTCTTGCTCTCTGCCACCATTACCCCTTCAGGCCAGAAGTTATTTCGTTTGAGGACAGAGAGACAGCTCCCTGTGCATCACTTGCACAGCTCAGAATTCAGTATGGGGAGGGAGCAGCAGTGGGGCAGCCAGGGCTGTGCTTGGGTGGGGGGTGAACTGAAGTGGCCCCTTGGCCCTGCCCCTGCAGAGAGCTGCACTGACAGGCAGGAGCGTCCTGTGGCAGAGACCATTCATTCACACAGGCCAGCCCTGGAGCAAGTGCATGAAGATCAAAAAAATTGATTGGTCAGGGATCCCTTATATTCCCTTTTCCTCTTCCAGTAAGCTGTGTTGTGCCTTATCTTGCCTATGCTTTAGGATCACAAGGTGTTAGTGAGCTATTGATTACAGCAGGCAAAGCCCCTTAGCACTTACCCAACTGCAGGGACCCTCCCATTATAGGAACTCCTTCCCAGAAAGCCCCACTGCACTGGGGGTTAGGTTTTAATTTGGGAGGTCCAGGCTACTTCTCTTTATTCTGACTGTTCCTTGCTGCAGGTTTCTCTCTGCTCGCTGGTGAGTGAGTACTTTTAACCTATGTTACTTCTCTGCGTTTCTTTTTTTTCCTTTGTCAGACACAATGTTTATCACTTCATGAGCTGTTGTTCTCAAAACACGTGAACTCTGCAATAATAGACACAGGCACAATGTTGCTCAGAGTAGCAGCTTGCAATTGTAAATATCTAGGCATTTATGAAGGTGATTGTTTCTACAGCAGAGAAGAGAAGTTGCCTGCCCTCAGTCACACATCTCACGTGGGACAGAGCACAGATTACGGAGTGCAGATCTCAACTGCACTTGCTCTGTTTGCTTCCTTGGCCTTGTTGTGTTGTACTTATGCTATGGAAGCACACAAACAGGGTCCTTGGAGTGAGGCAGGGTTGCAAACACCCCCACACCTACAGGTGGAACTTGAGTACATTCTCTTTCAGAGCAGTGATTGGCACAAAGTTCAGATATCCTTGTAAAGAAAGCCCTGTGTGTTTATTTGTGCCAAGGAATTTCGCTGTTTTCTCTGCTTTCCTTAAGTGTTTGTTCTCTCAACTCTGAACATCACCATAGACCTTACTGCTGTAATTGCTCTTCTTCTTCCTTGTGTTACTCTAAATTTAGTTTTCAGATGATGGTGTGTATTGGATAAATGAGGAATTGTTGTACATGTCCAGGGCCTTGTTTTAAAATATCAAATGGAATAATGGTACCCTGCTGAAAAGTAACAGCACTTTATTGCGATTATTTGATAATTTTCCTTTGAAAGAAAGGTTTTCCAAGCCCATCAGCACTTGTGAGCTGCAAGAAAAAATGATCAAATGACAATATGCTCAGGAAAACAGCTGCTCTTGTTATAGCCATGAGTCAAAATCTGGTTTACTGTAAAATTTCATTGGCATCAACTGGAATTTTGCCTGAGTAAGGTGCTCGAGATTTTTCTTCATGCAACTTCACAGTTACTCAACATGGAGAATTGGGAATCACGTGACATTCCTGACACAATATTATGTTTCCATTCTTGCTGCATGAACATCTGAAGAGTAAGTAGATTTTACACTTTAAAAAGTGCATGCTCATGCTGAAGGCAGACAAAGACCTTGGAGCTGTTGTGCTATTGGAACTTCATCTATTTATTCAACTGTCTACCATGGCAGGAATTTTTCTCTTAAATATGGAATTCCCCACTTTTTTTTCCCTTAAACAAGAGAACTAGAGGGTGAAAGGGTTGAAGATTAAAATGTAAACAGCAAAATTTATTATAATTACAAGAGTGTTTCAAATTATTTCCTTAAACTGCAACATAATTTACCTCTAGTCAAGGTCTCTATTGGTGGTGAAAGAGGAAACTGCTTGACCTTGGGGTGACCTCTGGCCCCCGGGGGTCAGCGCCCGAGGAATGTGCAGATGTCACGGTTCATAAGCAAGGACAGAAACTCTCAGGTTTCCCAGGCAGAGAGGCGCCAGTTCGGGGATGGGGCCAACATGTGCACCTCCCTTTGAACCAGCCACTCATACCTGCAACCCCATGGAAAGCAAGCACGCCCTGGGCTGGAGATGGGAAAGGTCCAGGGCTGCCCTGGATGGAGGCTTGTGCCAGCAGTGGGCAGAAGCAGCAGAACATAACAGAGGGAAAGATAAAATTTCCCTAAAGGGGAGCAGCATCTGCACCACTTTTTAGTTGTACTCAAGGAATGCTGCAGGCAAATGTGACCTGCAGTGCAGATCCACGTGCAGATCCTGGCTAGGAGCATTTAGAGGAGCTTTGGCTGCAACCAACAGATGCAGCTCATTGCTGTTGTAAAAACAAGTGTCCTAAACTCTTAAAAATGCAAAGACAGGAGAGAGGATTTACTGCCCATATACTACATTAACAAAAATGCATGAGCTGAATTGGTGCAGTGCAATTGCTGCTGGGACTTCTCCAAAGCTTGCACAGATCCTCTCAGTAACCCTGTCTGGAGTCAGTCAA